TGGTTCGAGTTAAATCTAACACGGACCGAGTTACATTTCTGTAAAGAAAATTTCGTTTTCGTCATAAAGACTGAGTTCTACTTCACCCGAGTTGAGGTATACCTCACTCACAAACCGAACAACTTTACTGCCAAACACATATATGTTTCACCGATCCATATTATATCATTTACGAACATTTAACTCCTCCACCATATCCGTAATACATATAACTATGAATCTCTTGAGAGATTATTAATAAACCCCATGTGACCAATGTGACCGAAATATAGTATGGTCACATTTTGATTTTTATCGATTATAACGTTAAATTTATGGTGATCACACTAATTCATTATGTTCATACCTTGTATATCTTACTAATCATTTGATTAAAACATCATAAATTTAACGTTATGAACAATGAGATCAATATGTGACCACACTATATTTCGGTCACATTGGTCACATGGTCACAAGGGTAGGTGTTGAAGTAGAAGTAGCATTTTAAGGGTATTTTTGATATAATGCCTATTAAACCCCATTCATTTACTCTAAAAATACCAACATATATGTATATATATATAAGTATATACGTGTATGTATGTGTTTACATAAGTATATATGTATGTAATAATATGTGTACGTGTGTATGGTTGTATGTATGTATTTTTTTATCATTCATATTTTATATTTGATTTTGAATTTGTGTGTATGTATAGATATATATGTGTGTATATATATATATTATTAAACTATCACTAATTTTTGCTCATAAAAAATAGGTTTAAAAAAATGTGGCATGTTTAATAAAAAATATGTAAATATATGTATATATATATATGTATGAATGAATGTATGTGTGTGTATATATGTATATATGTATGTAGGTATGTATGTATGTACGTATGTATGTATATATGTGTGTGTATGTCAGTATGTGTGTGTGTATGTATATATGTATTATTAAACTATCACTAATTTTTGTTTATGAAAAATAGGTGTAAAAAAACAGATGACACGTTTAATAAACAACATGTAAACTTATATATATAATATATGTGTTTATATTTATATATATGTATATATATATATGTATGTATGTATGTATTTTTTTATATTTATATTTGATTTTTAATTTGTTTATATATATGTATGTATATTTGGGTATATGTATATGTGATATTATATATATATGTATATGTGTATATATGCATATATTATATATATAGATGTATTTGTGTATATGTATTTGTGTATATATGCATATCTATGTGGATATATATGAATGTTTTTGTATGTATGTTTATATGGTTGTGAATAAATATATACATACATATATGTGTGTATATGTATATATATGTATATATATATATATATTTGAAAATTAAATGAAAATTTCCGTCATTTGATGGACTATACGATTTATTTGGACATAAAAAGAATATATGTATTAAACTGAGATAAATGAAAAGTATAGAATATATGTATTGATGGAATATTGATAGATTGCAAGCATTGTGGTGAAAACACATTATCATCCCATGTGTCATTTTTTCCAATTTTGATTGGTTCATTAATATCTACACATACTATTTGCTCATTTTAATTTTATATTATAATAGATTTCTCTTTATCAAATAAATATTCTATATTCTTTTTTTTACTAAGTTCATATAACAAAATTTGTAACAAGATAATTAATAAAATAATTAATAAATTGAATATTATAATAATAAAGTTTTATAAAATCGTATTTCTTTATAAGTGAATCAGGTTAATCAAATTTGTTTTTGAAAAAAATATTTATATTGTATATTATAATAGAAGCTAATAAAACGGTTCATTTTCTCTGTTTAATGATGATGTGGTTTATAATGTAATTTTATATTAAAGTCTAAGATAATTAATTTAAATTTACAACGTAATCTAAGTTTTATTGTGAGTAGTGAGTGTTAGTAAATAAATAATAATAAATACAGATGAAATATTACAAAAAAAATAGAGGAAGAATGCACATGGAAAAGAAGGAAGCGTATCTTTCTAAACACATTTCTCTATTAGCGATGGATATAGATTCTTGTGCAAGAGTTTCCACACAGGTTTCCACCATTTCGGATTGGTTGGACAGGGTGCAAGAACAATATTTCGGGGTTTAAAGGTTATGATGGTCGTTGTACGAGATGAGGCCATTGCTTGCAAATGAAAAGCTAGGACCGAGAACTGATGAAACTCTAGATATGAAGATAAAGCGTAGGGCTGCACGGAAGGAAAGAAATTTACGTACTCTTCTATTAGCATTCTAATATACGTAAGCTTCATTTTTGTCACTCGAATATCAATAGCAATTTGTGGTTCTACTTTGTTATATATGCATACACTTATATATACGCATGCGTATAGGCGAAATGGTCGGATTATGGGTGGTAGCCCGTGTTTTAAATCGATATGATAACCGCTGCAATGATCATATCATTTATCCAAAGATAACAATGTCGTATGATAGTTATATAAAGTGGTGTGAGGTATCTTAATAAACGTATCATAGTTATACAATGTATTGTTATTTTAATAAAAAAAAATAAATGACATTCCGATATAAAAAATGTAAATTTTAAATTGAATCATTCAAACAAAAATCGTTGCAGGTGCAAATGATGAAGGGGTCACCGAGGTGGATGATGTATTCTTCATTGGTGTCGACTATGATGCAGCAGATAGGTAAAATATTGTTCTTGGTAATTGGAGAAATTAGGGTGTTGATGCTCTGATTTGGGCTTTTGTTAGATGAGAATAAGAAAATGAATCAATTAAATATAACTCTCTTTTTCTTTTTTTGTTTGATTGGAAACGTTGAGAATGCATGTAGATATGTATATGATTGGCATTATTAAAATAATTTTGTCAAAAAGGTTGATGACAAATATTATTGTTAAAATATCATTCAAATAAATTTTTTTTGTCAAATGACAATATATATATATATATATATCTATATCCTTGGATTTGAAAACAAATATATATTTTCTTTGGCAAAAACTTTCGTCATAAACACATCAATATCTACAAAGATTTAGATAGAAAAAACTCAACATCATATAAAAAATTTCAAATGATGGAAAAATCACATATAAATACTTGAACTTTTACAAAATTCTCAAATAAATACCTATACTATAAAATTTCCAAAAAAATACATGAACTTTTCAAAATTTCTACATAAATATCCAGACTTTTAAAATTTTGTCAAATGGAACAACATTCGTTGACGGCGTCAGAATGCTAAGTCATCAATTATCGACGGATTCCTTTATAAATTTAATGTTGCTAATGGATTTTGGTTTCACTTGACAATTTTTTAAAAATTAGGACATTTATGTGGATATTTTGAAAATTTCAGATATTTATTTGAGAATTTTATAGTTCATGTATTTATTTGGGGATTTTATAAAAGTTCAGATATTTATATACGATTTTTCCATAAATTATATCATTGTTGAAAAAATCTATATATATAATAATTAACAATATAATTTTTATTATTATCTTATATTTGAATTTTTGTCAGATATCGAAAAAAAACCACATCAGTACTAAGGACAACCATAACAAAGTAGTGATATTGGACCGGTAAAATACCTATGTAGTGATATCATTATTCTATCATTGATTTAATTTTGTTTACAAACAATATAATGATGTAAAAAAACATACAAAAAAATATGTTCCTTATTAGTGATTTCAACATTTTTCCAAATACTTTTTATGATTTTTAATTGAGTATTATGTTAAGTTTACTAAATTTTTTATATGATTTAGGTGTTCTATCCCACAACACATCACTGTTCACATTCATATTAATAAACTTTGTAAAAATATAATTAATATATCAAAAAATATAATCCAAAACAAAATGTAATAGAGAAAGAGATGGAGAATCATTGGATTTCTCATTATTCAACATGTAACATTACAATATTTATAGCAGAAACAAAATCATAAAATATCTTATTTAATAAATATAAAAATCTAAAATATAAAAATAAAATCAAATCTAAATATTACGTAATCTTCTCAAATCTTCTTCATATCTCTTTACAAAATGATCATAAATTAAAAAAAAAACAAAATAGAAAACATATAGCCTTATAACTATCATCATCGTTCTCTATTCATAGTTAGTTTATATTACTCTCATGTATTACTTCAACAACATGATAAAAAAAAAGTAAATCATATAGAAAAGCCTGGTAACAAAGATGTATCTCTAACTATGAAGATTACCAAAACTATGAAAAAAATAAAATAAAATTCACAATCAATTTTTTTTTATACAGAAAATATTACAAATAATTGATATAAAAACTATACTACGTAGGATATAAAATTGAAATGTGTCACAAAATATTTCTATGACAAATTACTTACTGACATCAAACATATATATCACATAAACAAAGACACTATATAATAAGTAATGATGTTTTTACAATAATTTTATATTACTATTTAATCTCATATTAAATAAATAATTTATTTTTTTCCCAAAACTATACATCAACAAATTTTATAAAAAAATCAAATTATAACAACCTCACCTAGTTCTTGATAAAGAATGAAAAGTTAATCATCCATGAATATGAGAAATATAAAATAACAGAACCAACAAATTTTAGAAAATTATTCTCTACTTGGAACTTACGGTTAAATGAAATATATTTTCAAATGATAGGACGAACGTATCTCACCGGAACAGTGGTACTTCAAATTCCGGTGCTTCGTCGAACCTAAAGATCGGTTTGAATTACAAAGAAAAAAAGGATTTTGTTTATGTGATGTAGAGAACTCTTGTTGTTGCTGTTTTTTTTTTAATGTGTAAAACATGAAAATTATCCTACTATTCAGGGATTGAAAAATTATGCAACATTAAAACCGAAGTCGTGAGGATTGTCTTGACCAAGGATCTGGTTCGTTGCATGTTTTGATCAACTTTCGTTATTGTATACGTCACTTTTTTTCAATAATAAATGATATTTGTTCGTATTCTGTTATGATTCAGTACAAAATTTAATACTTATAAAAACAAAGTATGATGTGATGATAATATGATACAGAACGTAGCAGCAGAAACAAAAGCCTCACATTCTCCGCAGGTTGTCTAACCTCGCCTGGAGGTCATTGTCTATTCCTCCGTCATCATTCCCTGTCGGCTCTGCCTGTGCCACCTTGTTCTTCGCGGCTGGCGCCGCCACGGCTGCAGATGGTGCGTTCACCAGCTGCAAAAGCGGGGTCCGTGTGTTTAGCTCGTTGTAAGAAATGGGTATTCATAAGGGGTGGTCATTTTGGTTTTCCGTTCCAAATTCCAATTAACTTCGATTTAACTTCGATTGTATTCGGTTTCGGTTATTTCGACTTTAGAAGAAATATACATATTCGCTTTTCTTTATTCGAAATCAGTTTTTATTGACGAAAATAGTCGTTCTCCCAATAATTTTGTTATCTTTTCGGTTATTCAACTCCTATTCAGTTTTTTCAATTTTAAAGAAATCATAAACATCCGGTTTTTATATCGTTTAACGTTATGTGTTATTTAGATTGGAACGGTTCAATTTTGCATGAACCAAAATGACCACCCTTAGTATTCAAATATGTATAGATATGGTGAGGAGACTTTTTTGGGGGGTTTACCTCTTGGTTGATGTCGATACCGATCTCGTCGAGAACCTGGCTGACGAGCTCTTCAGTCTCTTCCTCTTCCTCGTCTCCTCCCAAGGCGTCGTCTATTGCGTCTCCCATCACCTCGGAGACCATTTCCATCTTCTCGTTTTGCCTCTCAAACTCCATCATGATCTTCTGAAGAGACGGCAAGTTCATCTGCCTGTTCATCTGTCCCATCGCTTTCGTTACGCCTTTCATCGCCTCTCCCATTGCTTGTGTTGATTTCAACGTCTGGTGCATTTCAATGAACACAAATCTTTCAGTCTGTTGCCAAAATAAATCCCCATGCTTTGCGTTTTTTCCTTCGTACTCAATAATGCTATAGAACAACTTCGATACGGATGGCAATCTGTTTCAGGATAGGAAATCGAGGAAGGGAATGACCCGTGATTTCACGATGAACTGAGGGATGAAATGAAAGTACCTGGATTCTGAGAGATACACCTTGGAGTTGTGACTTAAGTTTGTAAAACTTTTCAATCTGGTGTCGGGTTCTGATTAGGTCCTTCGCCATCACCTTAACAGCTCCCTGTAAGAAAGTTGCAGGAAGATGATATGCGTTAGAGCTAGGAGTCCAAATCATGGCCCAAGAGTTAGGAAACTTAATACACAGAAATTTACATTCCAAAAAAAATGGTTAAGGTATTGGTAAGTAGTTGGTAAAATCATTTAAAACTATGATTCACTTAAAACAAAAGCATCAGAGAATGTGAAGCTATAAATTAAGCTGCCAAGATAAGTTCTTGCAGCATTTTTATTCGCACGGCCAAAATTTTTCACGTTCTAAACCCTAAACCCTGAACCATGAATTCCAGCAAATGATAGCGCCAGTAATAACTTAGCACCACATATCATGTAAAACACTCGATAGAAAAGGTTCATTTCGATAAAAGTAACTTATAAGAACACGAAGATACGCTTCTGCTACTAGTGCATCTTCTAACTATAAAAGAAGAAGATAAGTAGTCTAAAAGCAAAAAGAATGTTCGGTAATGGAAGACAAAGGTAGAACTTAGTAACACAACTTAAAGAACTAACCCATGATTAAAGAGTAAAACATTGTGTTCAAACTCGTCTAGCAGATGACACTCATCGAACACATCTTCCTACCTCTATTTGTTCTTCTATGACATGAAAGTGGAACACATACCGAAAACGAGATGTGATGGTAAAAGGTCTGAGAAGGAGGAAGCATAAAGAAAACAGGAGAAACAAACCATCTGGCCCTGCTTGGCGGTCTTTTTTATCTCGGCAATCAGCTTCTTTTCCTGCGTTTGCAGGCCTTGCCTCTCCCTCTCTATCTCTCTGATAGACTTATCCAACATCCTCTTGTTTTCCCGCAGGAGTTCTGAAACCACGAGCAGAGAAAATCTAAAACCCGACATAGCAAATCCGATCAAGTGGTTTGACGTTTTCCGAAATACACATGATAGATTCATCCAAACATCATTTGCTACGAAACTATGCACCTAATCAAGGAAAAGACCAGCAATTTTAGACAGAGAATAGGAAACGAAAGAAACTAACCCAGTAGTCAACTTCGCTTGATTCGGTAGAACACGACAATTAATTGCAATTGGAGTAGTGTTATTCCATCAAAAAACACATTGATCTCATCAAGTAGAGAGCATTCTCCACTAATTCAATCACTAGAAACGAGAGAAACAGAGCAGCATTTGGCTACAACTTTCTCACGATTACACAGAAACAATGGGAATACAACCCAATCGAAATAAATCCCTAACAAATTCAGATTCGTATATGAGATCAGAGAACAGGGCAAGGCATCGACGCAAACCCCTAGCTTTAAATCTATTCAGATGGGAGACCTAGAATTCCGACGAACACCTAGAAATCGAAGACTCTCTGCTAAAAATGTTCTACCAATCGTATCCGGACCGATCAAAAGATAAAACCCATAAATTTACACATCATCGATATCGGAATACTCGAAAATTTTCAGGAATTATGAGCGAATCAACAGGCGAAACCAAGGAATTGAAGGAAGGAGACGAACCCGCAGGAGTCTTTCGCTTCCCAAAGATGAAACTCATGATGAATTGACAACGATGAACGAATCAAAACCGAATCTGAATTCCAAGTTCTGCAAAAGCTTCGATCGGTCTGAAAATTTCTCGAAACTGATTCCTAGGCACGAAAAAGAGATATTTTCTTCTTCAGGTTTGAAGCAGCTTTGAATTTGATCATCTTTCTTTAAAGAACCATTTGGAACGTATATGATAAATTTGTTTGCCAAACTATTTTGACCCCATAATTTTAGTTTCGATCAACAAGATCCTAAAGAACCTTTGCTGACCGTATGAGTTTACTTTAAATCGGGATTTGGAGGTTAAGGTATAGTTGTTGTCTTTGTTAAATAAAATGACATTAAAACATTCATCGGTGTGATCACATCCCATCTCATCTCTGTACAAATAACAATTTTTTTTTGTCCAAATCGGATTTTACCAAAACTTAAAGGGGGAATTCCCAAACGGTTGGGGGGTCAATTGTAACGAAACAAAGTACCGGACGCCGAAATAATTTTGTGGATTTGTGGGGGCTTAAGGCTCAAGAGCTTCTTTCACGCGTAAAGCAATTTCCTCTAACGCGTAGGAGTCACGGTTGATGAGAAACAACAAGGAACCATCTTATGCGGACGTGGCACACCAAGGCTTGTGGGACCCAACTCTTGAACTTAGCCACTTCTGATATTTCAGCTTTGAAGAAAAAATATTAAAATAGTCAAGGGCATTTCATTTCGACAAAAATAAATAAATAAATGAAACCAACATGGGCCATTGAATTTTTTTTAATTATAAAAGAACCAATGAGCCTAAAATATTAACACTGTAAGAATTGTGAAACCAATTTTTTTTTTATAAATAGTTCTTAAAAAATTATAATTTTAAATATTTTTATTAATTTTTGATATTTTAATTATATTCAATAATTTTAATTATTTTTATTTGGTTTACCAGATCGTTCGTAAATTTGATGACGTAGATTGAGCCAAAATTTTTCTAATTCATAAAAAATAGACCGCAGCATGTTGGGTCAAAAAATGAGCTTATTCAAACCGATCTGAGCCGAGTCGGGACGAGCTATTTTTACATCACTAGACAACTAATTAGGGATGTAAAACGGGCTGGTTCGGCCCAGTCCAGTCCGGACCGTCCCGATCTAAAAAAATTTCAACCCAATCCACAATTTGGGAGCTTAGAGGTGAAAATATCTTACTCCTCTCGCGTGTAATCTTTTTAGAAATCGTGTGTCAAAACCCTTCTGAATAAGATCTTGTGTTCCTTGCCTCTCGTGTGTCAAAACTTGCGGAAAATAAATTATTGGAATTTTTATGTTCAGTTTAGTGACATGGGTGTAAAACGGGCTGACCGACCCGGCTCAGCCCGCACCTTTTCGATCTGAAAAAATTTCAGCTCAGTCTAGTCTAATCCGTTTTTTAGCGAGCCAAAAATAGGTTATTCCAATCCAGATCGTCTTAACTCGCGAGGCAAACGAATCGGCCCGTGAACCAAATATATAAATTTTAAAAATAAAATTTTAATACTTAAAAATATTTAAAAATAATTTTAATATTTAAAATATTTTTAAAATATCTAAAATATAATAAAAAATTAAAATTTTAAACAAAATAAACCGAATATGTAATAAAAATAAAATTTGTATATATAAAAATATATAAAAATTTTAAAATTTTAAAAAAATAAATATTTTTTCTGGTCCGTGAGCCAGCCCAGATCGTGACGGGTTGGCTCGCCACAAGCCCGGCTCGTGATGAGCTGGTTCGTGTGGTCCGTTTTTTTATGGGCTCGAAATACTTGAACCCGCCTCGGAAAAATATGGGCTGGCTCATGAGCCAGCCCGCGAGCCGGACTCATTTTACATCTCTACAACTAATGTGTACTAAAAAATCATATCCAAGCCGGAAATCGAATATTCATGTGAAATTGAATGGAAAAGATTGAACCTTTCACGGGGAATTGAGGAAAAGTTCCGAACTTTTTAAGGGAAAGAATTTTAGAAGTTCCAATAAATATAGTTATTATATGTTTGTACTGACACATTGCAAGGGAATTGGAGAAAATGGTCAAAATTTAAATTACTCTATGGAATAGAACGAAAACTTCAACTTTTTCTAGTGAGAAAAGAACATTGAATTCGATTATTTTTTGCGGTTATATAACATTGAATTCATTCAATTTTTATATTAATTTTCCATTTGGTTTTGATTAGGTTTTACTAAAGAAAATATTTATTTTCTAAATACATTTTGTTTTCGATTATTTTAGTTCAATAAAAGTCAAACACTAGGGTTTTTAATAAGAGTTAGTTTAGATATAATAATTGTATTAATTGTTCCAATTTAGTTTTACATACCTAAATATCCACTCCTATCAAGAAGATTGGCTGGAGTAGTTAACAAGAAAGCCTTATCAACGAGAAATTAAAGTATGCTAGATTTTTAACTTTAATTTTTTAATATTTCATAATTTCCTCATATTTTGTGTGAAATAATATATCTAATCGAAGATTGAGTGACTCAACTGGTAAAGAAGGGAGCAAAATTCATTCTCCAATCCGAGTTCGAGTCCTCGTTTGAGAAAGAGTATTCACAGATGTATTTTTCTATTTTTTTAAATCATTATTTATAATTGATATGTGGGCAAAAATTAACAATTTAATATATATATATATATATAAGTTATTTTCTAATTTTATAACAATTCTACTCTGTCATAGCAAAACACTCCATATCAATGAGAGGATATATATGCATGGTGGCAGCAAAATTCACATTCATGTGCAGAAATAATATATATTTATATATTTCACAATAAATAAAAAAAACAAATTCATATATTTGTTTGTGTTTACTTGCAAAAGCCTACTGTCATGCTATTAAGAAGGTTGAACTTTTTCAACCACTCGCAAAGACACGCATTATCTCAAACCGGAAAATTAGATATCGTATCGCATGTTAACCGATTAAATTCGGATTAAAACTAAAACGAAAAAAAAAAACAAAATTCGATTTCGTTTTCAATTGGATTTCATATATCTCGAACTGAATATATAAACCCGAATCCAAAAAGGCTCAATAACCTCCCCTAGTTCTAGAACTATATATATATATATATATATATATATATAACTTTTGTTATTTATTTTCTTAATTAGTGCAAGACCGATGTATATTATTATATTGTATTTACTATAAATAAATAATTAGTCATGTTGGATAAATTACAAATATATGTGGTCGGAACTGACAATATTCCAAAATAAGATCAGTCACGAGACACAACGAAACAAAAACAGCACCAAAACTCAGAGCTTCTTCTTCCTCCTCCTCCTTCGCCTACCTTTTTCCCTTCTCTCTTAATTTCAAAGTTCCAACCAAACCCAAGCTTTCTCAGTTCCCGACCACCTTTTTGTTTTTATTTTTCCTTCTGTGTTCGGTTTATTTCGGTTTATCACTTTCGGAGCTTTTGGGTCTCCAACAATGGCGGATTTGGCGAAACTTCTCACAATGCTCTGTTTCTTCTCACTCTCCGTCTCCGTTTCCGCCCTCAACATCGGTGTTCAGCTCACAGATCCCTCTGTTTCTCTGGTCAGTTTCGGTTTACGATCCGGTTCGGTTCTGGTTTATAAAGTACCGGATTTTAACGAACGGTGGGCTTGTAAATCGGATCTAAGTCGACGGTTTAGTTAGACATTTTCATTGTTCGGATATGAGACAGCAGGCTAATTTTGAACGATCAAAATTTTGGAAACCGGAGAAAACCCGGTATTCAATTCGGTTACCGGGATGAAATCGGTACAGAATTTCTCAACCGGTTTCTAACCGGATCTCACGTTACGTTTTCCTATTTGCAGGAAAAAGAATGCAGTCGAAAATGTGAATCGGAGTTTTGCTCAGGTAATTGACGTATATACCATCGGAATATTCATAAAATACGGTTTTATGTGGAATTTTGTTTATATACAAGTGTGTGTGTGTGTAGTGCCGCCATTGCTGAGGTATGGGAAGTACTGTGGACTTCTATACAGTGGATGTCCGGGAGAGAAACCGTGTGATGGTCTTGATGCTTGTTGCATGAAGCACGATGCTTGTGTCCAATCCAAAAACAGTAATTTCTATCTATCTATCTATCCCCTCCAATTTTTAAATTCCGGTTTTTTTTTCTCTCTTATCGACCGTGAAAATATATACCCAGTTCGAATATTATCAGGATACTTCTTAATCTAAAACATAATATTTACTTATATCATATAATATTTACTTATATCATAAATATTTACCCAGTTCGAATGTTAAACCAAAAACAAATATGTATGTCCGGTTATCTCGTGTAAAGTATTGAACGTTATATATATATATATATGTATGTATGTATGTATGTATGTCATTGTGTGATCACATGTAAGATAAAAAGACTAGGTCAAAAGCTTTTTACAACCTATAAATATATGCATGCATGCATGTGAAGAGTCACGACAAACATATAATAGAATATATATATATACACTGATAGTATATATATATAATGTAATTTGTGAACAATTAACATATATATATATGTGTGTGTGTGTGCAGATGATTATCTGAGCCAAGAATGCAGCGAGAAGTTCATAAACTGCATGAAGGGTTTCAGAGATAAGAAGCAGCCTACGTTCAAAGGCAACGAATGCGATGCCGATGAGGTTATCGACGTCATCTCCGTCGTCATGGAGGCCGCTCTTCTCGCCGGCAGATTCCTCCGCAAACCCTAATTCATATATATATATATATATATTGCTAAGCTGTTGAATTCGTAATTCCTTTCTCCTTTTCCTTTTTTTTTTGTTCCTTGTTTTGGGAAATAATTTGGTTTGTTCGTTTTCATTTCTGAAATCTGAAATTATTTGGCGAATGCGAAGTTGTACTGAACCCACTTATTACTCATTACAAATGTTGAATTCGGGATATTTATATTAGTGTTAGAATTTATATTGTATTATAGTTATTATATTTAGTTCGGCCCAAAACGGTCTGAACCAGCTCGTTTTGGGCTCGGATCGGCTGCAACCCGTTTTTCTAAGCCAGAAAGATCATGGCTCGGTCTAAATCCACGTTCTTATCATGAATTCAAATCCAAACGTGGAAAAAAATATTCATCCAAACTTACATAATTTTTTAGAAGATATAGTTAGAACAAAGATTGGGAGAGATATACCTAACAGTTGGTGATCCAGTGATTGAGAGATGACAAAGTCATAATCAAGGTTCTGGGTTCGATTCCGTTGGCGGAGAGATGTAATTTCTGGACCAAAATGGTCCATATACAAAGACTAATCCCGTGTCTAATGTGGATGTAGTCGGATCGAATGTACGAGAAACTATTCTGGTTATAAAAAAAAAAAGATTGGGAGAGAGATGAAGCGTTAATGAAGGGAGAAGGAGTAACCATTAATGAAGAGTGAGGGATTAAACAGGTTCTGGTTATCATGAAGAATAAGGGAGAAGGAGTAACCGTTAATGAAGGGAGAAGTACGTGGGGTGAGAGCGAATTGCGAGTTATGAAATTAGGGATTTAGGGGTTTATTTTTTATTTTTTTTTTAAGGAAGGGGTCCGGTTAGTTCAATTGAGGATTTCGATTTGGTTTAATTTCATTTTCTATTTTAGTTCATGTGTCACTTGACATTACGGAATGTCTCTATAGTTATTGTAGTTTCAACAGATTCTCTCAATAAAAATTAATATGGTGAAAATTTTGAAAGTTTAGGTATTATTATATGCGTTTATATGAATTAATGTATTTATTTTAAAATTTTAAAATTTGTGTATTAATTCGTAACTTTTATATACAAGTTTGTATATTATTATGCGATTTTCCCTGATTTAACAAGTTAATTTTGATGATTTGTTTCATATGCCAAGTTTTTTTTATGGTAGTGTGGTGGTGGCACCTTAAAAATTTCTCTATTTTCGAATTTAATTTGTTTATTAAACTTAAATAATTTAATATAGGGTTATTAATTTTCATGTATTTAGTATTTATAATTTTATTTTAGTGAGGAAAAAAAAAACGATTTCTAGATTTCTCTAGAAAGGGTGGGGCCTTTCTCCCTCCACTAGCTTCTCCGTATATATACTCTGCTCCTTCACCTATTCAAGATTGTTACTGGTTATCGCCTTCGTCACTGTAAGGCTCTCTCAACGCAGAAACCCTAGTTTTCCCTATCTCGGTGTGTGTTACATTGAGTACCTGCTGGAATTTCGCTCGCCCTTTTGTGCGGAAACATGGCGGGAAACGAGTGCTTGCCCATGAAGATGAAGAGGAAGGACATTGACCGAGTGAACGATAGCTTTTCCGACTTCTCTCTCTCTTCTCCGGCCAGGAAGATTCGACGCCTGGTATTTGTTCTTAATCTCAATGACGCTGGGTAATTCTATCGCTGATCGAGCTGAATTAACAAACCCTAGGTTTTGCCAATTCGATCCCCGATCGCGAATGGGGTTGTTCCAAGTTATATTCCCCTGTTTCTGTTGGCGGGATTTTGTTTCTTAAGTGGTTAATCTGTTTTGTAACGATTCAGGACGTGGAATTGCCGCCGATTATGGAGGAAGATGAGGCGGAGATGGCGATGGCGAAGCCTGTGGCCCAAGAATCGAAGCTGGAACCGGTGAATGAGGAGAGGGCCATTGTTGTTTACAACCCTCCACAAGCTCAGCAGCCTTACAGTGGAAATCTCTATGTTGATGCTGACTTGATTTCTGGGTACAAGAGTAAGTTCCTCGAGCTTATGATTGTCTGTAACTTTTAAATCTCAGCAGTTTGATAAATCTTCGTCAATGGAGAGTGTTTCACCCAAGTGACTCTCAGGCCTGACTTCGAATCATTGCTATAGTTCATGGGATGGTGGTCGGTCGGTAGCATCATAAGGGCATCTGAACTTGTGCTGTGAGTTTAGATTATATGAGGTCCTGTAAGAATCTAACTAGCTTAGTACTGCACCAATATTTATCTTAGATTAGGTTATTGAAGTTTGTTTTCGATGTTTGAAAACCAAGGTATTCATCCACCTTTCTAGTATAATTCGGGTGCCGAACAAACATCCAATGTTTGCTGAAATCGCGTTTTCTTTTTTCAATTCGGCAGATAAATTCCTTCGTGCGGGCTTCTTGGGCGATGCAGGACTGGAAGATGACGACTTTGACGAAAACCGAGCATCCAATAACTGCCGAGCAGTCATTCCTTGGAGCCATTCCGAGTTCCCCACTGCGAAATCTGCAGAACCCTTCCGACAACCCTGTGCTCCAGAGATTATCGAGTTAGACGAGACGGGTGAGGATGCAATGATGGAAGCAGCATCAATGGAGATCGAAGAGGACAGTAACAGTAACATGTCTGTGCGTCAAGAGCCTCAGTTCACTCATGGCTTCGGACAGATGACGGGAATGGAGGGTTGGATTCATTGGCAACAACCACCACATTGTATGATTCCATATCTGCCTCCAACCAACACTACTCCCATCTCATGGACCCGATAATCAACCTCCCATATGCCTTGCCACTTTCTTTCTTCCGGGCATGAACATTAGGAGCTTTTATTAGAATCTATTCCTATTGTTCTTTTCCCCTTGAGAAAGGAAATGCGGTATTTAGACAGTACAAGCAGCTGCCTTTAGATTCCTTTGGAAAATGGCGTAGATATCTTGGTGCGTATATGTATATACACACACTCACTCAAATCGAATTCACCCACGGATTTGGCGGTGTAATGTGGTTGGGTTTTGAAAATTAGCGCGCAGTATTTTGTTCGGCGCTCCGTTTATGAACAAAAAAACGAACAGATCATGATAAGAGTAATATGAATTTAGGCTAAAGAAGTCGGCTTTTATTTGCAAACAATCACAGTGAGGGAACATTTCAAGGAAGATCGAGATGCTGTAGGATAATGGATTCGACCTGTCTCAGCGAGCAGATTCAGAGGAACTTCCTGTACGGTCTGCCCGCGTCCTCGTCCTGCATATGCTGCGAAATTCAAAGCTTTACGTTAAAAACCCAACCAAAGGCGGGGATTAACTTTCCCGACCATTTCTCATCATCGATCGGTACGCATTGGAGATGTAATTACGATACGATATGGACACAGTAACATAATTCTTAAAGCCACAGTTTCAGTCCAAATTCCATTACACCAAAGTGATGCATTAGTGATCGATTCGAAGCATCAAATAGGGCACCTGAACCAACGCTGCAGTGATAAACCCTAGAAATCCAAACTCCCCGGAGACCAGTAAATAGAAGAGCACAGACATGGAGAAACTAGAAGTACTATGCTGAGAAGAGAAGGGGATAAGCAAGCAATGAATAAAAAGGACACCAAAATTCTAAGGACTGAAGGCGACAATCCAGATCCAGGCACCTGACAGAAGAAACACAATCGGGTATCCGAAGTATCGAATCATGAGCAAACAAAACTCAATCCCCAACAGAAATTGAGTATACGCTAGAAACCCAACTGTACAATTACACGATCGCGCTCCTGGCCCCAAATCACCACCGTTACAGCCACAATACGAGAAACTAGGGCACACGCAACATCAAACGAGCGAGAAATCGATATCGAAATCGATCGATCGAGAGAGATAGAGAGAGAGAGATTGGACTCACGAATTCTCGGACGATTCCCTTATAGACGAGGATCGGGAGAGCGATGCCGAAGATTCCGACGAGGGCGAGGTTGCGACGGGTCCAACGGAAGTTGTGCTCGAGATTCTCCCTCGCCGAGCTCCAATCCTCGATGAACCTGTTCTTGTTCGTCTCCATTCCTCCACCCATCTTTGCTTTCTCTCTCTACCTTCGTCTTCTTCGGTCGAGAAGTGGAAAATGGCTTAGCTTGCTGTGCGCCTTTATAGGCGCAAGAGTGTGGCTCGATCGAAGTAGCCGCTTACCGGTTTTGATAACCAAATTAATTTGGCATTTGGTATCCGGTACGGTTCCCGGTTATTTGGTAACCGGAAAGTTCAGATTAGGTGTGGTCCCTTGTTGTTTTTCCAACCATGAATTATGATGTGTAATTTTTTTCTATTTCTTTTTGTTTTCTACCATTTGTTCCTTTTCAATTTTAAGCTTTATTTTGTCACACATTTTCGATGCTCTTACAATGTATTTAATAAGTTTTATAAAAAAACTCTCATATTTGTTAGTTTAAAAAAAACGTTGCAGTTTAAATACTCCTTTCTATCTAAATTTTGTTCGTTTTAATATCCTTAAAATACAAATAACGTAAGAAATATTAAAATTATATTATCGTAAAGAACTATAAAATTCGGAAAAACAATATATTCAACAACAAAATACTTGAAATTATATAAAATTCTAAACGATAAGAAAATAAATTATATAAAATACCAAATTAATTTGGGAATTGGCATCCGGTCATGTGGAGCCCGGAAATTTCAGAGTAGGAACTTTTCCGACAATGAATTATGATTTCTAATTATTTGTTCTTCTTCAAGATGTTTTTTATTTATAAATTTTATATAAAAACTCTCTTATCGGATTTGTTTCTTAGTTCTAAAAATTTGCTGCAATTCAGAAAAATATTTTTCTATAATTTTTCTTCGTTTTATTATCAATAAATATAAATAACTTAATATATGCTAAACTATATTACCGTAAAGAATGAAAATATTCAGGAGAGCAATATTATTTAGCAACGAAAATATCAATTTATATAAGAAAATATTCGGTTTATAAAATATTAAATTATAAGACAATTTTTTCAGATCAAAGTGAGACAATAGTTTCACTGACCAACTGATTATATATTTTTCTTAATTTTTTTGGATTCATTTGAATTTGTATATTTCGATATAAATTCTTGCATATAATTAGACAATCTGGTCTCTTAAATTATTGTCTCGATGCTTGATATTCTCGAAATATTAATATTTCTCTGTAAGCCATCATTTTCAAATGGGAACCGGTCATATTAGGATGTGAAATGGAAAATATTAATAATGAAAATTAACTGAAATTTAATAAAAGAAAATATGTTCTGTATATTTTAAATTCGTAATTTCCTTTATGAAAAAAAATAATAAAAATTTAATTATGCAAACACCATATTAGGATATGCGCGCCCTGACATGTTTGTGCTTACGTAATAAAATATTTATATATCATTTTGAAGCAAATTATCGTCTACGAGAAAAAGGAAAATCATGAATCAAAACATATTTTTCCATTATTTATAGAAAAAATTTCAAATAAATACATGAATTTGCTAATTGTTTACCAAAAAAATATATCAATTTGTTAGCTACCAAATAAATACAAGAGTTTGCAGATTTCTCCCAATCTATCCAACAACCTGTAAATTGGGAAAAATCTGCAATTTTTTGTACTTATTTGGCAGCTAACAAATTAATATATTTTTTTTTATAAGAAATTAACAAATTCATGTATTTATTTGAAATTTTCCTTTATTTATTTATATAAAGGGATAAAAAAAACATCCTAAAATGGTATCCACACAAATGTCCTGAAGCCAAAAATCCAGGATCAAATTCTAATCAAGCAAGGTCCAACTACAAAATAATAAGATCCATATTTAAATACTTGCCCACAAAATATAATATACATTGATGATTTTCGCCTATTAAATTTTTTTTTTCTGTTTTCCCCATTGTCGCAAAATTATATATATTAATTTTTTTAAATCAAACCCTTTTTCCCAATTTAATTTTTTTAGTTATAGTTTTGTTTGATTTTAATTTAGTTTATATTCTCTTTGGATTCGGTTTAACTTTGATTATCATAAAATTTTACTATTTTTTTAAAATAATTTTTTTTTGTTTTTTACTATTTTTAATTATTTTTTTTATTTATTTCAATTTTAATTAATTTCATTTATTAGAAATTTTATACAATTAATTCTTAAAACAAATTGGTTGTGGATATATCTATTATTCGGTTTGGTTCTTGGTAACCGAACCGAAATAATTATTAGCCAAAATTATATGAGTTTGGTATTTTTCTTTTGATGGTCCCATACAGTATAATTAGCGTATTAAAGTAACTGCGGCCGTATTTTTATAAGGAAACGTATTTATGCATAATGGATTAAATTCATTCTCTCCATCACCTCCCTATTTGTTCCTTCTCTTTCCC